CCACTGCTGCGCTCTGCCACAGATCAGAGACTTGCCAAAGCGTTCCCTCCTCTCCCGCACTGCTCTGCGCTGCTCCCCTTCTGCTTGCTGCACTAAAGCGCAGCGAGTGCTCAATTTGAAAAGCAAAGCTCAACGAGCATTATCACAGCATGCGCCATGTGGTTTCACTGGTTGCAGTAGTTGGTGGTACGTGGCTCAATGCCACCCGCATTTGGGTTTCAGGTTATTAGCAACCCTCGTTGCGCAATTGCGCAATTTCTTCTCTTTCTTCTGCTTCGTGTGAGGTTCCCTGCCCCCGTCTCTCTCTGTCTCTCTCTCTGAGTAGTTTGCTAAAAGACTTTCAAGTCACGCAGCCATAATGCAAATTTGACATCTTTATTATAATTAAATTAGGTTTCACGACAAATAATTTGATGGAAGGGTTCACTGTAGTAGTTCCTCTTGAACCATTTCATTTTGAGGTTAGGCATAAATGGCAATGCCAAAACCATAAAAATTTAATTACCTTAAGCATTTATTATACATATATCAAACACCATCCAATCGCCATCAACTTAACAGCTCCATTTTGAGTTACTAGTCGCATTCCTCTTGGCCAAATCTTTAGCTATTGTTAATCATTTAAGGCAATGCTGATTCCCAACATTTTCTCCTCCCTGCGCGTTCCGCTTCATGCTAGTTTCGCTACAGTATTGTAAAATATATATATATATATATATATAAATGTATATTATAAAATATATAATAAAAAACTTTTTCGGTCACAAAATGACCATAAAGTTTATTATAATGTTGTACGTATGAAACAGTTGCTGGCGCTGGGCTCATAAAATGCCAACAATAATTTTTTTTGGCCAAAACGACGACAATTTAGTAATTTGGCTAGGCACACCTCCACCCCCGTCTTGCCTAAAAAAAATGAAACGCGACGGCAATGAAATGAAATGCTCAAGTGAAAACTTGGACTAATTAACGCAGTGCTGCGGCCGTAATTTAAAAGGAAAGTGCGCCACGCTTATGAGACAACAGCAGCCACAATGAAAACTATGAAAAAAAAAGAAAGAAAATGTATACCCACTATTAGTGGCAGAAATCTGATATCACAGACTGTATAGTATTTGGAACGGGTATCGCATTGCATCAGCTCGACAGCAATTGGGCGATTAGAGGTTAACAGTGTGGTTTCTAGACTCGTCTACCAGCAGATTATTTCAATATAGCTATTGTTGTGATAAGACGAAATGAATGGGAATAAAATAAAATAACGACAGCTGCTTTAGAAACTGCTTAACTGATCAAATTTGTAGCTGGCTTAGAGACAAATCTGCCAGCGGAAAAAAATAAAATGAAATGAAATAGCAGTTTTTGAAACCTATTTTTGAATTTACTACTACGTAGCAGCAAGCGCAACAGAAATTTGCTCTGCTTTTGCTACTGCTGCGAACTTTAACAGAGCAACAGCAGAGCCAATACCCGAAATAGCTCTAGCAGCCATTCCCGTAGCAGTTCTGTTAGCAGCTACGCGCTGCAATCAAGTATACGCTTGTTATAGCAGTATTAAAAACGGTGCAATTGCTCTCGCTCTGTTCTTGTTGTTTCTGCTATTGCTACAAGTCCATTTCAGTTATTTGCTATGATCGCTGCTAATTCTCTGTTAAATTTCTTAACTACAGCTGTAGCAATAGAAAATGAAAAACTACGAGTTATCCCAGCATTTTTAATCGCTGACTTTTAGCTTATAGAAACAAACCGAAATGAAATGAAACAGCAACAGCTGCATTGGGCAAAGAAATGAAGTGGAATGGAACAGTGGCAGCTGCGCTGAAGAGCACCGTTAAATGTGCGCATATGTAAATCCCCATTTGGCACAATCAAAAAAAAAAAAGGAGAAGGAGAAGAACTTAAAGTGAAATCGGGCCTCGGGCGCAGTAATTTTGGCGTCAAGAAGAAATAAACGCTGACATTTCTAATTAGAGCGACAAGGGAAGAGCGAAGGGGTCGACAGTGGTCGTCGCGTCGTCTCGGGGTGGCAAGACAAATGACGGGGCAAGGCCCAAAAAATAATTCGAAGCAACGTTTAATTGCGGTTAAGCGACGGCGTTAAGCTTCAAAACCTGAGACCGATGTTGTTGCCCCCTCGGGGTTAGGGCCAGGACTTGTTCAGGGGTAGCTGCTGACTCAAAATATAGTTGTGTGCTCCGCCCTATTCAATAACTCAACAAAAGCCACACACACAACTTTTTTCCATGCATTTTCAATTACAAGAGCGCTTAAAGTTTGTTGAATAAAGCGTAATCAAAGAGCAATAAAAACAGGAACAGCTACAAATGAATATATAAAAAAAAATGGTTGAAAAACTTTTGTATTTGCTTTTCTTTACAAAGCGGGGCAATTTTACCCTTGTTGTGTAATATTTGTATGGCCTGGATTGCATGTTGCCCCTGTACTCTGCTGTCCGCTCCCTGCTCCCTGCTACTCATTTAGTTTGTTGTATAATTCATTTCTAATGCCACTTTTATTATTGATTTCTACAACTCCGCGCATCAAGTCCGGGTCGCTGTTTGCGTGTAATTGCTGCCCCTCTATTCAAAATGGCCTGTTTCCATGTCGTCTGTTAATGTGTGTGTGATAAGAGGCTATTGTTGTTATATATATTGCTAAATTGTTGGTGCCTGTTGTCTGGTGTGTTGTGCATGTGCCAACAAGCTAATAAATTACACTGAACAGCGCTGATTTATTGGCCAAGACAAAGCGTATCGAACCCAAAGCGTGTCTAATCTAACTAGGTCGATCTTCAACCGGGCTAACTGAGCATGCCCCGAACTTAACTAGTTACAGAAGGTCTCTGCACTTCAATCGAGAATCGAGAAGCGTTGAGCATTTGTCAGACTTATCGATTGGTTTTCTATATGCAACCCTCAAAAATATAGAAAAGAAACTGTTCCATTCCACTTTGTAGCCGGTTTTTGTTTTTAAATATTTATATTGGTATAATCAAGTTGTGCAAAATTATGTAATGGGCAGAGGGAAGCCATAAAGTATATATACTTTTGATCAACATCAACAGACGAGACGATCTGACCTTATCCGTCTGTACATCTGCATAAACAAGTCGATATTAAAGTCTATAGCAGCTAGAGATTAAAAACGTATATATATATATTGTCTATCTGCTTATAGTATGCAGAAAGTGTTTATTTATTTTGATCGATAACTGCCCCCGTTTCGTCAATAGCAATGCGAATCGATTTCCAATAAAGATAAAGCCTTTTAGGTGATATATAATATACCCTGACATATTATTGATCAACTGTGCGAATTTGATTAAGATCGCAGATTTCGTTAAGCAAAACTTGTTTTCATATTCATTTCATTTCATCTCCTGGCAGAGCTGTCTCAACTAGAGCATTCTAGCATGTTTTATATTAATAAAAAAAAAAGATTCCTTCGCAGTTGGGTAACTCATTGATGTAAAAGTCTTTAAATTTGAAGTCAAACCTTTCCCTTTCTTCAAAATGCTTCCATAATGCTTCATGCCACATTGATGTGGCCATCAAAGCGAGCAGTTATCTTGGACACGCCTCTGCTGCTTTTTTTGTTGTTGGTGGCAGGCAAGCTGTATGTTGTGGCCCTCTAGCCAATCCATTCATGCATATGCGCAACACTTGCACAATTGCCACAATTACGAGTACATTTTATATTTTAATTTCTTTTGACTTTTACCGAGCATTTTGTGTTGGTTTTTTCTTTCTTTCTATCTTTCTATGGCCAGTTAAAAACGAAACAAAAAGTGGAAATTGGCGCAAGGAAAGTGTGAAAAGCAAATAAAACTAAACTACAACAAATCGTACTTCTATATATGGCATATATCATGACTACATGCATATATATATATATGTATGTATATATGAGTTGGGGAAGTAGCGCATGAGCTAAATATCAAAGGTTGTTGTGGTGGGCTCATTATATTTTATGGGCCTACCGGCCGGTTCCCCAAACGACCGCAGCGGTATAGTTTCAAGGCTCATTCGAGTCAGGTGAGGTCGCTGCCAAGTTATCTACGTTTTTATTTTTTCTGGTTCTCTCTTCTGGCTTATGCCACATTTGGCAAAGGCGTTTAGCCTTCGATACGAGACCGCCACACTTTTCACTTTCACTCGAAATTTGTATGCCAAAAGAGCATTATTTTTTTTATTTATTATTTTTTTTTTTTGGCGATGACAAATCTCATTAGTGTAAACGGATTTCATTATGAAATTTATGGAAATTTGTAGGTTTTGTAAAGCTCAAAGAAACTAACTTGGTAGCTACGTAAACAAGTTGGGATTGGAACATGCCTGCTCTGCCGTGAAACAATATGGAATTGAAACAGTTGGAGGCACGTGTTTGAAGTGTAGAGTGTACACTCAGAAAAAATCACCCTAAATTGTAGATTCGCATTACTTTTGGTATATTTCTAACAAGCTTTTTCATTTCTTAATTTAATGGTAGATTTTTCTAAAATTTAGAAACGCATTTTTGGCATTTTCGACTTAGCGCAAGCCTTTCTAATTTTTAGATGTTGATTTTCTTATATTTAGAAATTATTTCTAAAAACAAAAACAACTTTATAGTTTCAGATCGATTTTCTAAAATTCAGGCAATATTTTTTTGAGTGTAGAGTGTCTTAACCTGAAAACTTGTTTATGTAAATGCTGGCAACAATTACAAGAACCTATATATATGTATATTACATTCTTGACCGATTGTTATTAGAGGTTGGCCAATGCAAATCTGCAAATAGTTGGCGAAGCGTATCGCAGTTGATGCAGTGCACGCTATCAAAAGCGGAGGATGCTTCAGCTGCTGCCTGGTGCCTGCTGCCTGCTGTTAGTTTGCCAGTGTCCAGTGGTGCAACAACTTTTAATTAAATCCAATTACCCACTCGAGCAACAACACAACGATACAATGTTTAAAATAATAATAATAATATTTCTCTTTCGTTTCGTTTCGTTTTGCAGAAATCCGGCATCAGCAATTTCGGCTGAATATGTCGCGCGACTACGAGCTGAATAGCGTGGCCCAAGACGATCCCGCACTCATTGCATTCCTGCGCCAAATTCACATGCGCAAGTATATGTATATGGCCAAAAGCGCCACCGTCTCCAGCTCCAGCGGCAAGTCGCCGGCCGCCTCAGCAGCTGTACCGCCCGCCGGTACGGGCAACATCAGTAGTAGCAGCAGCAGCAGCAGCGGCAACAGCATCACCGATCAGCTGGCGCATTATGTGTCCGATTTGGTTGGCGGCAAACTCAATGGGGCAGTTATACAATCGTTAAGCGGTCCGCTGGCGCATCTGATAACGGCGCCCTGGCTGAGCGAGCAACTCGACTGGATGGGCGTGCTGATTGAGCCGGAGCCACGCTGGTATTTCGCGTTGCGCAAACAGAATGCGCAACGGCCACGCATGCAGGTGGTGCACGCCTGCGTCTCCCCAAATCCCTTTCCCAAAGAGGTAATTACCAATTGTTTTAAACATCCATATATCAATCCATATTAATGACTCATCTATTCATTTGGCCAGATCACCATACACAATGAGGATGTGCGCATAAACAGTTTGCACGATGAGGAAACATCGTGGTTCAATTCGCGTGTCAAATGCTTTCCGCTCTACACAATCATGCTGGCATGTGAGCGCACCGAATACGATCTGCTCAGTCTGGGCGTGCAGGGGCATGAGCTGGAGGTAAGCGCACAATCGTGCAGCAGTTGCACATATTTGGGCATTTCCACATAAAAAGCCAAGACGTTCACTGAACTGGATTCAATACTGGATTAGATTAGTTTACAAATGAATAGTAGGATCTTCAAATTAGACGGTTTATCGGTATAGAACAGCTCTCAACAGGACACTTCTAATGACATATTAGCTACTTATCGTAGTAGACTTTTACTAACAAATCTTGCTGTATTTCTGATAGAACCAAGCTTGATTTATTCTTCATGCACAATCCAATAAATGGCGATATTGAGTGTTCCTCATTAATTAATAAGCCAATCTAGTTTTGCAGTTCCGATCAGCAGGACAAGGAATTTTCTAACTCTTTCCTTTCTTCAAACTATTCAAAGCACATTTCGAAACTCGCGCTCTTTTATTATTTAAATATATAATAATTAAGATGAAAAGTATTTCTTGTGGAAATGCTCAAATATATTCATATTAATGTCAATGTAATCTAGATGTAATTTAAACGTTCTCTCCTTGCCACTTTGCAGATCTTGCAGACGCTGCCCTTTGACAAGATCAAAATCGATATAATCTCGATACATTTGCTGGATGATCACGAGGATGTGCGCGACTATGTGCAGAGCATAACAAAGTTCCTAGCGGGCAAATTCTACAAATTGCAGCGCAAAATCGGTCGCAACTATTTCTATCAACGCCTCAATGCCAGCGCCAGTCGTACGCGCAAGAAAGATATACTGCTGCTGAAGACCCCAATACAGTAACTACAACTACAACAGCAACATGTACATCAACATCAACCACAACAACAACAACGAAGAAAGGATTCAGCTATTAGAAATGTGCGTTAAATGTTAGTCCTCGATATGTTAGACTCGATAATAAAGTAGAGAGAATGCAATTAGCAACATCATAGAGCAACGACGCGTACTAAATAACAATACAAAAAACCAACTTTCGAAAAACTCAAAAAACGTTTATGTTATAATGATAATTATTACATATATATATATATATATATATATATACCATACAACAAAACAAACAAACACTATTCATATACATACATGTTAAATATTATAAATACACTTAAAACTGTATACCCATTATGATATACATATATACATACACCAACATATATATGCATTGTACGTTTAGTTTAGTTTCATTTTCATTGCTATGTTTTGTCGTAAGCAGAAAAACAAATTTGAAAACTGATTACCTTTTTTGTTTTTCCTTTTTCTATTTTTTTTTGTGTCGAAATTGTTTAATATTATCATTTTTTTCTGTGTCTAAGTTCGATACACAATGATTATGATTATGATTACGATTATGATTCTTTATATATATATATATATATATATAAATCGAAAACAAGCTCTAGCTAAGGTATTATGATTTTTGCTATAAGCTATGCTACATAAATATAGAAATTTAATTTAGGCGCGCCCCTAAACTTGTCTTGATCATTTATGTATAAATTTAATAAATTTACAACTATTATTTGTAACTGCTTTGCTATAAATATATATATCACTTTAGACTTCATAAACTACTTACACTACATACTATATTATATATCGGAATAGATAAACAACTATAAATTATTAACTATAGCTATGCGAGTTTATGTTAAATTGAATGCTTTATGTAGTAAACCATAAGTAAAAAATACATCAAAATCACTAAAAACAAAACACAAAATACAAATATTTAAATTATATTAAATTATTGAACCAAACCAAGCCCAAGCACATTCATACACACACACACACAACTCACACTCACCTATACACGATTATAAAAATAAATAAAAACAAACAAACAAAACAAAAATCATTGCAAAATCTGCTTTCAAAACTCATCTCATACTCATAGTTAAAAGTAAGCAAAACAAGGAAATTGATAAATATTAAAAACATTAACAAATTATAAATGAGGCAGCATTCAAAATAAAACTTGAAATATCACAAAACAAATAAAGAATTGCACTTAAAATTAGCAAAATAATACAAACAAAAAAATCACACACCAACAAATACATGCACATTTTTATGTATTAGCAAATAAATGTATGTAAATTAAATGTAGCTCCAAACAAATATAATAATAATTACAATTTATATAAAAGAGAACAAAAAAAAAAAAAAACACAATTACACACGTATTTCAATTACATTTTTAGTAATTACATAATGTATTATTATTTTGTATATTTCATTGCACACACACACACACAAACGAACACACAAACACAGTTGACGGTTGTTGTTGTTGTTGTTGCTGCAGCAATGTGAACTCGTTGCACCTCGCACTAGCACCACTCCCCTACTTACCCCCTCAAGCCGCCACAGCTTACAATTTTTTATGGAAACGAATATACTATTTATAATGAATACAACAAAAAATCAGTGCCTTTTACTTAGACTTTAAACAAATGAAAACCAAATTGTTTAAGCTTAAAAAATGATTATAGAACATGATGATATGTGTAAGTACTCAAGCACTCAAGAACTCAACTCAACAACCGTCACTTAGATAAAAAAAAAAATAAAGAAGAAAAACAACAACAATTGCCGCCTCTTAAACTTGCCTTATCGATGTTGTCAGTAGGCCCCATCTATATAACTATAACTATATTTAGATCTGTCAGTTAATCAAGTGTAAAACTCGCACAGTTACTAAACAAATCCGTCACAACAATTTATTTAAACGCTTTGTACAAAATCAAGAAAAAATCAACTACACACACACATACATACAAATACACACACACACGAAAACATCACGTTTAAATGTTAAGCTTAGCGCTAATTTGAAGGTTTTCTGTTTTAAGCCTAGTTTTAATTATTTAGTTGTGTATTTTTTTGTGTACATTTAGCGTTTAACCAAATTTTAAGTAGGCTTAATTTACATATATACATAAACAATACATTTAATTCGGCATCACACTCATACACATACACACATCAATACATAAATACACACACACAAACAGAAACACATACAAGAAAAAAAGGCTAAGCTCGAAATTATTTATAAAAGTAAGCAGAAACGAATACATTTTAGTAAATAATACATAAATAAAGCAACGAAAAATTCCAAAAAAAAAAAAAACAAAAAAATGAAAAGAATTATGTAGAAATTTGACTTTATCTGGCACAACAGGCATATACTAAAACTACATAAATATAAACTATATATCGTATACAAAGGGAAATTGTTTATCTTATGAAAGAAATGACTTACAAAAACAACTTTTGAATCAAACTATACAAAATGCGAAAATAAAACCAAATGCGGTAAATGCTAAAAATAATCAAACATATAGCTAGACACTTGCGAACAAATTGAAAACAGGCTTACACAAAACAAAAATAAAGGGATGAAATTACTGAAATTTATTAACTAAACCCAACAAAATTTACACAATAAATGAAATAAAGATTTACATAAAATGTAAAAAAAAACTTCTTAGTTTCTGAATAATGCCATAAAAAACGGTTTGATTAATTTTTATTTTTATTTTATTTCTCTTATTGTCATGCACATATTTTGTGAACAGTTCAAAATGGGTTTGATGTGATGTGCAAACGTGTAAGTATTTTGTATACAGTCGTGGCTAAGAAATGGGAATGCCTCATTTCCAAAGGTAATTCCTTATAATCTATTTTTAATTTACCTGCATTACGATTCTGATTACGATTCTGATTACTGAGCAAATTGACTTGTGAAGCCAACAATTAGTAGTCCACCACAGTGTTCTAATGCCTGTTTCGCATGTCTTCATATTCTTATTTTTATATTAAGAGTTGTAATTAACAAGCAACCATTAATCGAAATGATTTTAATCTGTTTGTTTCTCAAGCTGCTCACGTTAATTGCTATATTTCTACAATGCGGGTGCCTTCAGTCGCATCCCTAAAAGTAGGCAACACTTTTTAGCAGCTCGTTGTCAGCAACAACCTGTTGCACGCAACGAGTTAACGTGCCCACCCTGTACGCCTGTAAGCAAATGTGGTAAGTCGAAAGCCATTAAACCAACACTTAGTCAGGGCTTAGCTTGGAGTGGGTGGGTCGGAAGTCAAAGCATTGATCCCTTTTTAAGAGGCCACAAAGCCGACAGGCAACAAAACAGCAGCAGCGACGAGAACTCATTAAAACGGCCTTAGCATGCAGTTTGGCTTTTATCGAGTGCTAAAATTCATCCGCTATACGCAGTTTGTACGCATTGGGATTAAGAGAGCAACAGAGCAGCAGCAGCCGAGGTTGGTAAGGGTAAGACCATTGTCTGGGACATAGATTTTCAGATGCCTTCCAGCACTGTGGCGCCTAGAATGGCCTGGAAGCTTTTTATTTTTGTTTTTTTTTGGCCGCCCTCGCGACTGCAACAGGCTGTTGACGGAGCTTTTCTAGCTTGCGTTCTCTCTCAAATGCGCAAGCGTCGAGCTGACACACTAACACAAATGCAGCCAGTTGTGGGGCGGCGTGGGAGGAGCAGCTGCGCACGAAAGTGAAAGCTGCGACTTTCAAACTGTTGCGCTCAAGCTCAAGCATTTCAAGCTAAAAATCAATAGCAATAAGGTGCTGGCTAAAGCAAACAGCTGTCAACCTACGTCAACTGACAAGCACAAGAACGAAACGGACCAGACTGAAGTATGCTGCTGCTGCTGCCGCTTCTTCTTCTTCTTCTGCTGCAGCTTTTAGTGCTGCGCACAGTAGGCGAAATGGTTATTATTGCCTTTAAATTTGCTTTGCGTATGTTTTTGCCCAGCACTGTGCGACAGCTGTCACAATTGACAATTTAGAATTTAAAGTGTTAAAAGGATTAACTTGTCCATAAATAATTTTAGTCAGTCCTATTTAATTAATTAATTATTATTTTTATATAAAGTATTATATCAATAAATATAAAAATAAAAAATACAAATTTAAAAAGAAATTACTTCTGTTAGACATGATTTTCTCACTGCTCAAATCAGATATCATTTCATTCAGCTGGTTCTGGCTTTGCATACAAAAATTTAACTTAATGATAAGCAATTTTGGCCACTTATAAAAGACATTGGGCAATAGAAAAAGCTTGCTCAGAGCTTTCGCTGGATGGCGCGTGTGCCTAACCTACAGCACACAAGCAGAGCAACACTCTCACACACACACATGCTGGCAGGCGGGCAAAGTGCGTAGGAATTTGTAGGCAACAAACTGCTTTTGTACATATGCGAGTGTGTGTGTGTGTGTGAAACTCCGAAGAGGCAGCGACGAGTCGCAGGCTGCGCTGGCAGCACATAACGAACACGAACGTAATTTCAGTAGGACAGGCAGTCCTTCGACTGACGGTCAACGCGAGCAGCCACCAAAAAACTAAAGCCACTCAAATGAAATCAGCCAGCAGAGAACAGTGATAAATACAACAAAAAGCAAAAGAAATGTAAAGCATGTTTCTATCTAAATGTGTGTGTGTGTGAGTGTGTATGTTATATTTTATTTATGAATTCAAGCAAATATTTAATAACATTAAAGTACTGTATGAAAAACGAGAGAGAACAAATATGGCGACAGGGCAAAGCTTTCGACTCTTTTTTTTGCACATTTTTAATGCAAAGCGAGTTGATATAAAATTGACACTGAACTTCAATTGCTAAATTTATATGTATATAATCCAACTGTATATATCTATGTATGTTTATAAATATAATTCTGATATGTGTGACAACAACAACAACAAGAAAAAGAGCGCCGCGAAAGAAAATGCTGCATAATCTATGGCGCAAGCATATGGTGAGCTTAAGTTGCGGCTCTTGTTGCTATTTTTACAGGAGCACCAACTGCAACAACAACAATTACGTACATGTTAATTATAGAATGTATATGTGTGCGTGCGTGTGTGTGTGTGTGTGGGTGCGCGCAAAAGCAAGCAGGCGACAGCATAACGGACAATGTGTGCAAACAACAACAATGTAAACTTGACTTGTGCACACACATACAATCTAAGAAATGCGTGTGTGTGTGCGTGTGTGCGCTT